GAAGAAGAAAAGGAATTTTACTGGCGCGGCGCCGGGCGAGATGTGCACTGTGTGTCGAGAGGATCTTCGGGAAAAAGTCGAGATTAAAGAGATCGCACGGCTTGATTGCAGGCACATTTTTCACGTTGATTGTATAAAGAAGTGGCTTCGACTCAACAATACTTGTCCGCACTGCAGAGCTACTTGTGTGAGTCAGTAAAGACTAATATATATATTTCTACGTTCTTTTTGGTGTTCTTCGTTCTTTTTGGTGATGTTTGTTTTTTTAATTTTTTCCGGCATTAAGATTGTTTGGCATACAAATTGCAATTTTGAGGGTGTTTTTTTTTTTTTTTGAATTTGGGAAAAATTGATTTTTGTTTGATATTAAAATAATATTTGATGGGATTTGTGAAAAAAAAATATTGTATTTTTGTTTCTAAAAAAAATAGAGTTGAATAGTAAAATTAAAAAAAAATTGATTAAAGAAAAAAAAATTGCTTATTAAACATCTGCAATGTTTGTCTGAAGAATTTTAACAAATATTTACTATTAATCAATTTTTTCTAATTAAAGTAAATACTTATTTTTTTTTAATTATATTAAAAATAAATTTTACATTTAAAATCGAGTTGTTTCCAAACTCAAAATTTAACCCCTAAACATTAAATTTTACATTCAAAACCGTGGTATATCCAAACTCACAATTTGATTTTTGAAATAACATATTGGATAAATTTGGACTTTTGAAATACCTTATTGGATAAATTAAAAAATAATAATAATAATTTCTGAAAATTTATAAGTAATTAATAGTTATTTTAATGGAGTATATTTTATTTGCTATATTATAATTTTAATTGTATAAATTTAAAATAATTAACTTTTATATATAATTAATTTTATTAGTAAAATATAAATTTATTAAAATTAAATCAGAATAGAAAACATAAATTATTTATTTATATTTATATTTATATTAAAACGCAAATAAAATAGAATAAAAATTTATTGAAAGTTATACATATAATAAATTATTTAATAATTAATATATAAATAAATATATAAAAAAATTATTATTTTATATTTTACAACATTCCCAATAAAAAAAAATTCATACTTTTCAATTAATAAAAATATTTTTTTTATTTTTTTCAAATATAATGTTAATAAACATAAATATTATATAACAAGTTTACAATTTCAAATAACTAACAAAATTTCTCAAAATTTTTAAACACAGAAAAATAAAATTGAATATTTCAAAAAATAAAATATTAATATTCTCAATTATTATTTTACATTTTATGTATAAATTGCTAATATAAAAATATATATATATATCAAATACTTTAATTATAAAAAAAAAAGAGAAAAAAAAAAATCGAACTAGATAGTCAAAGCTATTAACTAATTGTAAAAATACACCTATTATAAGAGGATTTCTATAGAAATTGCTTGTATTGATGTATAGACATCCATCCAATAATATGATTGCATTTTAAAAAAATAAATATGTGCTCTTAAAAAAAAATTAAATATGTGCTCTTAAAAAAAAAAATCAATTTTGATCAATAGAGTATAAAAACAAATCAATTGTAGTCCCATATAAAAAAATTCATCAAAATTGATCTCAACTAAAAACATTTGAATCAATTTTGATAAAAACACAGGGCCTCACATAATTAGCACAAATTTATAATATCTAACACCATTGTGTTGAACGAAAACACGTCCGAAAGTTCTTATTATTCTGAAACGATTATTATAAACAATGGGTTTAGAAATCTAGATTGTAAAATGGGTTTAGTGGCCGAACAACCTTGCTAGAATGATTATGGTTTGTCCAGGGTCGTCTCGAACTTTTTTAGAGTCCTGATAAAAATGATAAAAATTGTATTAATTATATATTCAATAAATGAAATATAAGTGTCTAGTAAAAGATGGCCAACTGGTGTGGAAGTGGACTGTCGAGAGCCTAGTTTGTTATACATATCTTGAATGTTATAAAATTTTGAAATATCTTGACTATTATAAAATCAATAACTCAATAATAATAATAACTATAATTCTAAAGATTAGAAAAAAATTTGAGTAGAATTTATTAGAATTAGAATGTGACGGAGTAATTGTAGAAACAAATAGGAGATAAAATTCAAATTAAATTTGAATATATCTAATACAAGGCGATTGAGGATGGATTAATTTTAAAAAATTTATAGTTAGAATTTAATTTTAGAATTAAAATTAGATTATGTAATTGTTGAAAAAATTATGGGATAAAATTTAAATTAAATTTTAAATATATAATAATATTTAAAATTAAAAAAACATGGGTTCTCTTAAAGTAGAAGCCTTGAGCAATTGCTCAAATTGCTCCTGCTAAGAGCCGACTCTGAGTTTGTCCGAAAAAACTGTTAATATTTATTTAAAAAATAAAATAAAATAAAATAAAATCTTTCCGGCATGGCGCCGGCGGATGGAGATGAAGAGAGCCGTGGCTTCGACTCATATTTGACTCGATCGTTACATGTAATAAAGATAAACGATATATATTTATATATAACGTGTAATTTATATATTATAGTATGATATAAGTATATTTATTTCTATGACAATTGAATGCATTGGGATTGTTCACTCAATCAAAAATTTCTAGGTGTTTCTAGATTAATATTATAAAAAATAGTAGTATAATATATATTCTATTTATTTATAAAAGAAAATAAAAAAATAAAAAATATATATATTAATTAAATTACATTATTATTGGATTGAAAAAACCATTTGATATTTAAAAATAATAAAAAAATAATGACATTTACTACTTATTTATTTATTATTAAATTAATATAGCGATGTAGCACTATAAGAAAATAAATCTGGTAAAAATTTATGTTTCACAAAATTTAAGGATAGTTATCCAATAACTCAAAGTAAAAAAAGATATATTTGTTGTTGCTGAAAATTCTTCGTAACGGTCCAAATGATTTAAACCAGTCGAAATCGACAAGAATTGAGTTTTCCGGCCTACTCATAGTTTCAAACTCCCACCTCTAAACGGGTTATATTTCAAGTTGTGGGATCCATTATTGAGCTTCCGATCTAACTGGACCACTTCTTCTCCGAGCCTGCCTGTTTCGGGATGTTGAATCTCTTATTGGTTATTAGACTACCCATTTTTCCTTAAATTTATTATTCCCAAAATTATTTGGGAATAACAATAATAATAAAAAAGTGCTTAGCCGATCATGAAGTTCGATTTCTATCGGAATTCTTGAAATGTTCGAAAAAGAATTGTACTAGCATTTTCTTAAGTGTCCGAAAAGTTGTGAGGCTGCACGTATTCGAGGAACAACCACATAATGTTCATATACGTGATTTTAAAAAAAAATTAAAGAAAAATTTAATTGTACTTCAATTTTTATATATTTTTATAAAATTTTAGATAGTTTATTTAAGGACACTGGAGTTTGATATTGTATATAAAATTAAACTTGTCAAACGGTTAAAACTATCGGTTAGAATTTAAAATTATCGGTTTCTGTTTGCTAAAATGTCAAATCGAATCGAATTTTTTGAATGACGGTTTTGATTATGATTTAACGGCTTAAAAACCGTTGATTACTTAATATTTAAAAAAAAAAAAAAAACAAACAAACAAACAAAATTCCCAGATTTTTTTATATTTTAGTTTTTACTGTTAATTTTTATTCTGATGTTTAGTTAATAAAATCTTGTGCTATTATGAAAAATATATAAATAATCTTTAAATTTATAAAATAATTAATTAATTATTTATTAATTATAAATTAAAATTAAAATTGATAAATATGAATATACAAAAATAATAATTTAACATTATATAATAAAACAATTATAAATTTTAAAATATAAATATAAATATAAAGAATAGTAGTATATTATTATTTTTCTATATATTATAATTATTTATTAAGAATGTTAATATTATTCTTATTCTTATAAAAATATAATAATTTCAATAATAATTAAAATTATTAATATTATAAGATATCTATTTTATTTAGGACCGGTTTGGATTGCTCTAAAAAAATAAGGGGAAGCCAAAAGTAGAAGAAGTTCGATTTTGTGTTTGGATTAATTATTATAAAAGAAGTTTTTCATAAAATAAAATAAAATTAAAAATAAAAAAATTGTTTATATATAATAGACTTGAATGTGCTTTTAAACTGTGAAAATTGCTCAAAAAGACATGTAGTTAATATAATTATATTTTTTTATAAAATTTTCATAATTTCTTTTAAAAATTTATTATTTATATTTAAATATTTTAAATTAAAGTAAAAATATATATTTTTAAAATTTTAGTTATTTATATTTTAAAATATTAATTAAAGGATAAGATATAAATTAAAAATAAAATTACAATCTAATATTAAATTATTATTATTTTATAAATTATATTTAAATTTTTTAGTATAATTAAAAAATTTATATATTTTTTATTTAAATTTGATATCTCAATTATAATTTTAAATCTTAATTCAAATATAAAATAATAATAATAATAATAATAAGAAGAAGAAGGACGAGGATAAAACAGTAATTATATTTTAATTTTTGAAATTATTATGATTTTATTAAGACATTATAATAATATTAATAATTATTATCGTAATATTTATCACTTATAATAATATTAATAATAACAATAATAATATATTTTAAAAGTTTATCAAAATTTCGGATTTATTAAAAGTCTGAATCGATATAGATATTTTAAAAGATTTTTACACTTTAAAATTTTAAAAATCTAACAAAATCTCATGCAAAATTTTACAAAATCTTGATTGAATACATCGCCAAATAAGATTTATTATCTTCGTATTAAACAAACTAAATCCTTCCACCCAAGCCTATATATATATACATGAACTATGTTCATCTTCTCGAAATCTTGATAAAACTTTGCTAAGAAACAAAACAATACGAACATATATACAGATCTTTCAATAATTTTCATGGCGGATCAATCATCGATGGGGAGCAACGCAGCAGGCAACGGATTCGACGAGAACAGATTCCGAGACGTTTTGCATGCGCACGCGGAATTATTGTATCGCGATCTTAGTCGTCGGGCTAGGACACGAGCGATTGAGATGAGTTCTGTAGAGTCCATACATGGTTTGTCCGAAGAAGCCATTAACACGTGTCTGAAGATAAGGAATGTTAGCCGCGGCGTCGTCGTCGGAGATGAAGAGCTTCTAATTTGCAGTGTATGTCGAGAACGTCTTTATCTTTGGGAAGAAGAAGACAAGACTAAGACTACTACGGAGATTGCGGAACTTGGCTGCGGACACGACTTCCATGTCGATTGCATAAAACAATGGCTTCGACGCAATAATCGTTGTCCGCTTTGCAGAGCTATTTTTTGTTGTTAAAATATATTTAGAAGCAGTATATTATATTTATGCTAGTTTAAGAGTTTCGTTGAATTTCTTGCTTTGTTTAGATGATTTATATATATTTTTGGTATATTAAATTTATTGTTATTTTATTAAATTTATTGTTATTTGTTGGAAAGTATATTGGAATTTCGAAAAATTTTGACTGTTATATGAATTTTAATAACCGCGACGGGAGATGCGACGGGGGTTGTGGTCGGAGAAGAAGGAGGAGAAAGGGGGCGGGTTAGGAAAATTGTTTTGATAATTGAGGTCTAGAACAAATAATTATTTTTCACCCTAACAAATTATTTAAATTACATTCACCCACCTTTGTATAGAAACAAGTATGAACATGCTAAAGGTTAAATCAAGGCTATCGTCTTAAATTTAGTATGTACGTGCGGCGTATCTAATTAAAATTTCGTAAGATTCTATTCAACTTTTAAAATTTGAGTGTATTCGATTAAGATTTTGTAGGATTCTATTAAACTTTTAAAATTTGAGTGTTTTTTATTAAGATTTTGTAGGATTCTATTGGACTTTTAAAATTTTGAGCGCATTCAATCCAAATTTTTAAAAATCATGTAAAATTTGTAAGTATTCCATTCAGACTTTTAAAATTCCTTTAAAATCGGGAGGTATTCAATTCAGATTTTTAAAGTCCTTTAAAATATTGAAGTATTCATCCCAAATTTTTTAAAAAAAATTTAAAATAATGAAGTATTAAACTATCCGTAGACTTTTTAAAGTTTATGAATTTTATCGGACAATTATAAAAAAATTGGATTCTTAAAATATATTATTGTTATTATTATAAGTGATAAATATTAAGATAATAATTATTATGATTTCTTAATAAAATAATAATAAATTCAAAAATTAAAATATAATAGCAAATTTTTAAAATATATATTAATTGAAATTTTAAATTAATTATTTTTTTTTTCATAAAACAAATTCAAATAAATTTAATTGAAAATAATATGGAGAAAATTTGAATATGAGTCACTTGACAATGAAATACTATTGCTCTCCAAATCCATTTTATACCATTATCATTTCATATTAACTTTGTTAAAGTAATAATACATATAAACATAATAAAATTATGCTAAAATTCTAATCAATTAAAATAAATTAATGTATTGAATAATAATATAATATAAATTAAATATATAAATATATAAAAATAGTATTATTCTATAATTGTTATACATCATTAATTATATATAATATATAATGGTGATAGAAATGAACATGACGAAAATGAATATAAAAATAATAAATAATTTAATATACAGTTTGAAATTTTGACAAATCACCAATTGATGTGCAATCATAGTTAACTCAGATAAGTGTTGTCCAAAGGGGTTTAGTGTTAGAGCTATCAACGACTTCGTTGTCTCAGGTACCAAATTATTGTGTATTCGTTGCCATCCAAAAAATCGGTTCCCAAAAATCATTAGGTGTTTTGTCAGCCAATCCACCTTGACTTACAACATCGATGTTGCTTGAGTCTGCCCAACCGAGACCCTCTTAGAAGTATTGGATAAAAAAAACTACTCCGATATCTGATATTGAGGACACTTTACTTGCAGACAGTGTATAAAATTGTAAAAATAACTAGAGTGTTTCTCTGATATACAATTTATCTTTATATACAGTATTATGTGGTGACAATATATTCAGCTGCGACAAATATTCTGCGATATTTAAACATTTTTCTAGTAGTGATATTTTAAACAATATATTTCATAATTAATAAACGCTAATGGCATATTTGGTTGAGAGTTTGAATTTTGAATAATTATTTGAAAGTGTAATATAAATAAATATTAACGGTTTGAATGTATAGTTACTTTTTATAATATAAAAATAAAAAAATATGAGTTGAATTTGATATTGTTAAAAGAAAAAAATTGATAAATAGTAAAATTATAAAAAAAAAAAAAAAAAATGTAACCAAATGGAGTACAAAAATATTTAATTTATATTTTATATAATTATGATAATAATTTATTACAAATAATTTAAATTTATATCTAAAATTTTCTAATTTTTAGTATTATTACAAATACTTACACAAATAATTTCTCTGAATGCAAAAATTATTTAAGTTAAAATCAATTTATATATATTATTCATAAAATAAATATTTACAATTATCATATCAACTAATTCAAAATTATTAATTTTTTAATACATTTTTTCTTAAAAACAATGTCAAAAAATATGTGGCCGAATTCAACTAGGGCGGAGGGAGTACAACATAGAAAACACTCCTCCAATTTTTAAAAATATACTATATCTTACTAAAAATACAAATAAAAAATATACAATATACCAATAAAAAATAGTATTCTAGAATATTTTTAAAGTTCGTAATATGTTCTACGAAATATTAAAAAATATTCTCAAAATTCATACATAATCCATGCTAATAGTTTATTATATATATATATTATAAAATTTTACTAATACAAATCAAGGAAAGAAATAGAAATATATTTGATATAATATATATATATAAATACTAAAAAAAATATTTATTATATATCATTCACATGATATCTCACATAAAAAAATATTTTAAATTAGAATAACAAACAAATATACTAATTATATAAATATTTATTATCTTTAATATTTAAAAAAAAAAGAAAAAAATACTTTTTTCGCGCTGTAAAAAAAAATATACAAAACCTAATATACGTAAGGTGAAGGTGTGTTTCTTTAGAGTGGATTTAAGAAATTTTAGTTTATATTTTCTTTTTTTATGACCGGCAGTCCATAAGTCATTCTTTACGAAAACTAAAGACCTCCCGCTTACCAAGTCGTTGTTGCTTTGATATAAATTTATAATAATACTATATTATTTTTAAAATATACTTTTAATAATTAATTATTAATATTAATATTATTTTATTTTTATAATTATTAATTATATTTAATTATAATAAAATTATAATAATTATTATAATTACTATAAAATATAGCTGCCCCTGGTCTTTTTTTGCTCTCTTTTCTTCTTTCTTTTACAAATTGTTTTTCCACCCTTCTCTTTTTCCTCTTTTTTCTTCTTCTTTGTCCAGCCACTTTTCTGGACTGTCACATGCTGAAACACGCCTTTAGTAACGTGTTGCTGCTGACCCTCCGTTGCCTATCGACAAGCAAATCCCACTGCGTTGTTAGTAAGTTGGAGAGAAAAAAATAACTTCCGGGCTAACGAGGCGACGGAAGTTAAGAAAAATATAGTTGGAGTAAAAGAAAAAATGATATATAAAAATAAAAAAGAAAAAAATTACTTTCGGTCAAAACCTAGAAAGTAGGTACCAAAGTTTGTCCTCTGTCTTTGATTCCGCATCAAATTTTGTTTCCAGACAAATTTTGATGCGGACAGTAGGTGTCTTAACAGAAAAATTTCACAAACCAAGGTTAAAGAAACACATTTTGAATATTAAAAAATAAATTAAATTAACGTTTCGTTTAGTAAAATAATAAAAAATTTAAAAATAATATTTAAATATAAGAAAATCATAAAATATAACAAATATAAAATTACTAATTAAAAAAATTACTAGGTAAGTATTGTTTTTTTTTTCAATTTTTTACTTTATATTATATATATATTTTCCAAACAATTTTTTTTTTCACATTAATAAAAAAATAATATTTAAATAATAAAAATATCAAATAATAATATTATTATAAAATGTAACAAATATAAATTAAAATATTTTTATAATGTTGTTTCGATTACCTATTTACAGTTCCATCCACTTATTTGGATTATTTTCGAGCATATTAATGAATGGAAAGACATAAATCAAAAATATATTTGGAAAATAGAGCATTAGAGAGGTTTTAGTTTATTAGTATATGATAAATTAGTTTATTTAAAAAGTTTAATGAATCTTAAAAAATAATTTTTGAAAACGTCCGTTCTAATATAATTTACCATTTTTATCCGTCCCAAAATAATAGTTTTATTTTTATAAATAATCATATCACCGTAAAATTATTTTTACTTTTGCATTTTTATTACACAATTGTCACTACTTTTTACACTGATACACTCACAAAGGCAAAAAAAATTTTATTCATATTTTTTATCCACTACCAATATAATATCAATATTCCTTAAACTCATTGAATCCTAAAAGATAATTTTTGAAAATATATAGTAAAATGTTAGTCAAGACTATTTTTAATTATGATTTTTCAAAAATAATATTAAAGAATATAAAATATTTTTTACAAAAATTAAAAGATTAAAAAAAAATTCAAATACTTATACAAAAAATCAAATATTTAACTTGAAATTATGAAATATTTTTGAAATATACAAGTGTTTATATAAATAAAATTAATTAATTTCAATTATATTGTCAAACTATTTTAATAGAGATGTAATCTTAATTAATATAAAACTTTATCTATATTCTACTTATTTAATAATGCAAATTATATTTATTTGGTAATTCATCATGAATAAATAAATTTTATATTGAAATGATTATTTTATTATTAAAATAATTCAATTTTTTATATGGAATTTTCCTTATATTCATATTATTTTTATGTATTTATATAGTAATATAAAAGTAGAATGGTAAAATTAATTTATATTGAGTTTGTTCGTTTTGTGTTTTGTGTTTTTGAATTTATGTATTTTGAGTGTCTTCTTTTGTATTTTGTGTTTATGAGTAAATTTATTTTTTAGTAATGTTAATAATATAAATTTTAAGATATTATATTGAATTGTTAATTTGTTTTAGTAGATAAAATTTATATATATTATCTTTGTCCCGTGTCCTATGACCATTTGGTTAAAGACTTAATTAGTCTAGACGAAGTAAGTTATTAATAATAAATTAATTATATTATTTTATTATTTTTAATTATCAATAGTATTGTTAAAATTTTAAATATTATTAGCATTATATCTACATAAAATATATACAAATATCACCTAATATTATATAATAAAAATAAATAAAAAAATATATGTTCCGTCCAGTTAAAAAGTATACGTTTACTTTTGAGCGGAATGTAAAAATAATAGTGTTTTAATTATAGTAGGTAGTTAGAAGTAGTGTAATGATATTTTCGTCCTTTTTTAATATAGAAATAATGATATAATATAAAGTAAAAGTATTTGTAAAAGAAAAAAAAAATGTTGGCTATTTAATAAAATAGTTAGTTTGTAATTTGATGCCTGAATCTAGAAATATGTATATTTTTTAGTTAGACAGTAAGATTATATTTATTTATTTACAACTAATTTAAATCTAATTTTTTATAAAAAATGAAAAATTTAAAATATATATATAAACATATTTGTTTATTGAACAGATAAAAATAAAAGGTATTTGAGTGAATCCAATAGTTGAGAAATTAAAATTTTAACTAAATTAATTAATATTTTTAATATATTTAAATAAATTTATTAAAAATAGATAGAACAACGGAAGAAAAAAATCATTTGTGACTGTACCGAATAAGTATTATTTTAATGTGTATATATATATATTGTAAAATTTTATAATATTTATAAAAATCGTGTCACCAAAATATAAATTAAATAAAAATTTTCCTTCCATTTTTTTAATGAAATACAAAAATATTATTTATTATTATTATTGTTATTTAATTTAAATAATTATTTGAATTTCATATTTTATGAAAATATATATATATTTAAAAAAATGAATAGAAATGGTTGGATAGTAAAAAAAAAAAATTTAAAATCAAACTCCAAAATAATACATCTAAACCTAAATCTCGGGATAATAATAAAATAAATCAGAACTAAAAAAATATATATATTTGATGAAACTTTTAAATTCAATTTTCTATTTATTTGTATTTCAAAGAACTTTTAAATCTCGGAATAATATAAAATTTATGCTATTAAATTTTGTAAAGAAAAATAAATTATTTGTACTTTAACTTTTATTATTATTATTTTTATAAAATTTAAAATGTTTTGTTTATTCGAAGTTGTATTAATTTTGTATTTTTATTTACATAGTGATTTAAATTTACTATTATGTTATATAAAATTGTAAGAATTGTATGTAAAAATAAACTCATTATAGCAGGAGTGTTGGAATATATTAATTTATCTGGTTTAATTTTCAAAATTCTGTTTTTACTATTTATTTATTATTTTGTCTAAAAAAATAAAAAGAGATTTTTATATTTATTTAATACACTATATTAAAAAAAAATTATTTGAATTCAAAATGTTATACCCATGTAAAAAAAAGTAATATTTGTTTTTTGCACATATATTTTTCAATATTAGTATTAGAGTAAAAATCATTTTTTGTCTCATTCAATATCATAATTATCAATTTTGGTCTCATTTTAGAAAAAAATTATCAATTTTGGTCTCACTCAAATGAAAATTTATCAATTTTAATCCCAAGATGGTTGACTGGCTTGAACACGGCCGTGTTGGATGACTCAGAAAATGACCGGGCGTCCCAGACAACCAACACGGTTGTGTTAAATACCCTGCACTTTTGAACACGGCCGTGTTCCTGCCCGTGTTCTGAACACAGTCATATTCCTGTCCATGTTCTCAACACAGCTATGTTCTAGATCATGTTTCTGCCCATGTTCTCAACACAGCCAAGTTTAGGTCATGTACACGACCATGTTTTCAATATAATCATATTGTAAATCATATTTATTATTTTTTTATTTTTGGTTAAAATTATTTGATATATATTTATAATTCAACAAAAATATTTTTTTACAGTTATTTTATAATATAAAAAATAATCAATTTTTAATATTTTAAAAATATATAAAAATAATAATATATTAATATATATTTTTAATAATACTCCCTCCGTCTCACTTACTAGGTTCACATTGTCGTTCCGTCTTACATCCCATGTCACTTTTTAATTTCTGAAAAATAATTACACACTATTTTTTAATTTAATTTTTTTAATTTTAATCAAACTAATGAGTTATCTTAATCTTAATTTATAATTATTTATATTATATGATAATTATTTTCACTAATAAATTCTTAATTATCTACTAATTATATTTATCCTAAATTCTCGTGTCTACAGTGACCCATACATCCAACTTGAGACGGACGGATATTATTTTAAAATATTATATTGAATAATAAATTTAATTTATAATTTATAGAAATAATTAAATTAAAAATAATATTTTCAAATTTTTACTATAAATTTTTAAAAACATATATTGCAAAAAAAAATTTTGTTGAATTATAAATATATATCAAATAATGTTAACCAAAAAATGAAAATAATAATAAATATGACCTACAATATAATTATATTGAAAACATGTCGTGAACATGGCCTAGAACATAGTTATATTGAAAACATGGGCAGAAACATGGCTGTGTTCAGAACACGGACAAGAATACGGGCAGGAACACGGCTATGTTCAAAAGTGTAGGGTAATCAACACGGCTGTATTGGCTGCTTGGGACGTCCAGTCACCTTTTGAGTCATCCAACACGGCCGCCGTGTTCAGTCCCAGTCAACCATCTTGAGACTAAAATTAATAAATTTTCATTTGAGTGGGACCAAAATTAATAATGTTTTTTGAATTGGACCAAAATTGAGAATTATGATATTGAGTTGGACCAAAAATGATTTTTGCTCTTAATATTATATTGGATTGTAATAAAAAAAAAAAAAAAAAACAAAAATATCCTTATTAGTATTGTATAATATAAATGTGTTAGCATTTGTTAATATATTGTAAGTTGAAAGGATATTTATTATGTTAGATAGACAAAATATTTATTTGTATCTTATTAAATAATAATTTCAAATTAAAATTTTTAATATTGTTAATATATGCCAAAACACCACAACACAATCAAACAAGTCCAATAATTTTCGATGGTCCAGTAAGGCCCAAATTAAAATAACTAAAAATAATTAAGAGGCCTGAATAGAATTCAATAAATAAAAATAATAATAAATAAATAAAATCTGAATCCCTACCTACCAGCAGCAGAGTCGTTCCGCCACCGCCATCTCGCCGTCCGTTCATCGCCGTCGCCATTTTCAGTCACTCAGAAGCTCTCCGCGACCACCCCTCAGAAAACGCACCTTAATTTCCAACTTCACCGTCTAGTGGCAGCGCATCTGCGTAGCGGACAACTGATTCGACTAAACCGCCGCCTCCGGTGGACACTTCCGTAACCGGCGGTGAGTCACTCCACTATGATCTCTAAATATGCCCAACGTTTTTAAACCTCGTGCGTCAATCTTAATTAATTTTTTTTCTATTAGCGCGATCGAATTCTCAAATCAAATTACAATAACTGAAATCGAATTTTTATATATTCCATGCCTTCCTGTGATAAATTTAACCTAAATTGTGAAATTCATATTTGAGGGCTTTCACGTCATGTTAATTTTCAGAGTGAATTCACATTACACACACCTAATGTGTATATCCACTTTCTTGTGTAGTTGCAGAGCTAGGTGTGTTATTATTGAGCAAAATCAAAAGATACATTGGTTTGTCATATCTGTATAGATTGTAAATTCTTAACTGGATGTTGTCTTCACAGGCCACATTACTTGATATGCAGCAAGTAAGTAAGTTGTCGACTATTCGAAGTAAAGGAGTGAAACTTGAAACACTAGGCCTGCATTGCATACTTTGTTTGATGTTTTGAGTTCTCTTTTCGATTTGAAAATTCTTTAGTTTTAACCAAAAATAGGTATCAAATGTTAAGGGGTTAGCATAGTTATCAATAGCGAAGTCCGCCACTACGACTGCTCTGCAATGCCGTGTTTATGCAATAGCAGCTTAGAGGCTTTTTAAAGTGAATAATATGATATAATCTTGATGATAAGTATGTTTAACGTGGACGTAGATTTTACACTATTACATACTAATTGCTTCCTTCTTTAGAAAGGGAAAGAAGAGTGCAAGATAACAAACATACAACAAAAGAAATGAATGAAAATAAGAATAGGAACAATATTCACACAAGAGTAGAAGCGAGGGAGGAAGGTGAAAGAGGAAGACAATTATTTATTAGATTTAAATCTAACTAACTTTGATTTTCTATCTATCAAAGTAGTAGTGGTCTAATTGTTTTTCTTATATTCTATGAACCATAATTGTATATTTTTTGATATTTTATCAGATGAATTTATTGATTTTTTTATACATTTTTTATTGTAGTTTTGTAGATGTAATAAATTTTATATGTATATTCTTAATTTTAGAGATTGACTGATATAAAACGCTATTCAAGATTAACTGTGGGGATTAGCATTCAAATGATTCTTGTTAACATAGTGCATCTTGCGTGGTCCATAAACTCTAAATTCTTTCTCACTTCATTGCTCTTTGTATTCGAAATTTTGACTAGAGATGTTCTTCATTCATGCTTGGGGTTGTGTCCCATTCGAGTTACTTGTTTTCTAATACATGCTTGTGGGATTCTTGCAACATTACATTTTCCAATGAAGTGGCTGCTTGTGATGCATGCCATATGTTTGCATAAATGTCCATTTGATTGTTCAAAAATATTCATACCCATATTCCCTTCTCCTTCTTATTCTGGCTGTTTGAAATTCAATTTTGCTTTCTGTAGGAGGAATCGGAGTCTACATGACGAGCTACGTCTGGAGGAAGTATGCAGAATATCTGCACACAAAATGGGAGAAAACAATCCTCTGGGACATGATCGAGCCGTACAAGCGCCCTAAATCCTTTACTCCCCTTGTTACGATCTACATTTGTGCCTTCTACACCGGGGTTATTGGAGCTGCAATCACCGAACAGCGATACAAGGTAATAAGATTCATCAGCTACCTATTATGATGTTGATGGTTTTCATTTTTGCTAATTTTTTTTTTTTTTTCTTGGCCTGTATTACTTCACTGTCTTCAAAGCTATTCAACTGATTAATTGAATTCTTCAATATTGGTTTTTTAATGGATTGTTCAAGTGCTCTTGATTGTTTACAGATTAGATATGCTTTAAAGTTTCAGTGTGTGCTTATTTAAATTGATTAGGATTATAGTTTCTAATACTTTATCCTCACCTATTTGATAAAATAGAATAGAATAATCATATAGATTAGTATTACTAATTGCATGTTTGCTATAGAATAAATATTTAATTAGGATGTCGCCCTAATCACTTATAATAATCATGACCTTATTAGCATGTTTAACACTGATATAGCCCCCAAGATCATGTGTGTAGTACAATTTTTTGCCCTGTTATATTCAAAGATATATTTTGAGAACACAGTGTACGTTAATATGATATTTTGAATTTAAATTAATTTTTAATATAATATATATATTAAAAATAAAAGGGTTTGATTTAGTGTTTTTTTTTTTAAAAAAAAAAAAGATCAATGAATGGTAAGTTTTGAGTTGGAAACTTACATAGCTAAAGATTCTGCCTCAAACATGTTTCCTGTCATGAAACTTGTAGTGTTCTTTGTGTATAATTTTTGGCCATTCATTCAGAGATCAAAATGTGACTTATTCTTGGAGCTTATTCCTTCATATATTTTAAGGATTTTGTTATGCTTGGAACAGCCTGAGATTCATTTCTAATTTCTTCCTACTTTCATGATATTTGTTGTAGGAGAAATTTTGGGAAGAGCACCCCGGGCACGAAGTGCCATTGATGAAGCCAATGTTTTACGGCGGACCTTGGAGGGTTATGAGAGGCGAAGTTCCTCGCTACATAAAAGAACCGGGCAACCAAATTCAGCCGGAATGAGCAATTTTAGACATCGGGCTTTACTTCTCCCCCTCCAGTACTCATTCTACGCCAATATCAAATAAGCAAATGTATTTACAACCACCTTCGACAAGTTTCTGAATTCGAAGGCTGTGAATATAGCATTATTTCTTGATATGGAACCACAAGTGCTCTAGAGTGTATCAATGGAGTATACTATTTTGATCTTACACAAGAACCCTATTAGTATACAAAGACATAGAAGTAATTTTCTTGTGTAATTGGAACTCTCTACCTTGTATTCATTTGTTTCTAACATCCTCATCATATATCAAGAATTGAACATAAATAAAGTATTCAAAATAGTTATGCTTTCTATTCAATAATGGAATACAGACAAGTGAAATTGTCCTTCAATCATTACAACTCAAATCATCTGATTGTTGATTAGTCGTACACGATAAGTCACACCTATCTTTCTTTAACCAAATGCAATTCTCACATTCTAAAAATTAAAATACAAACAAGAAAGACTACACACCACTAAATGTTAGTGATGACGTCATGAAATGACCCTTTGATAAATAGCCCACTGCCAAAATTAAAACAGTACTATATAATACATAAATAATGATCCCACTTGTGCTCATTATTGTCTTGTTACAATCTCAGCCCACAAACCCACAATTATCATAACAAAAAACAATCGACTTTGACCTCAAATTTGTGCATTCAGTGGCCATTACTTTCCATAACCTAACAAAAAAAAAAAATGTAACAAAAAGGCAACACCCCATTGTGGATTATCACTATCATATCTCACTACTCTCATCATTAACACATTATGATCATAGCCAACAAGATTTTAAAGTGACCCCCAACTTTATTTTTTTTAATCCAAATTAAATAAAAATCAGGGGTTTTTAACAAAAGGGAGTACCCAAGATTGGGATTCCAGCTCAGAATGATCCCACCACAGGTCAAATTTTTATTTTTGATCTTTTTACAGAAGCCATTATTACAAGAATCAACAGCATATACCTTAAAAGATAAACATCATAATCAACATATGTATAACAAGATATTCAAGATGCAAGAAATTTTGTAGAACAGAGAACAATGGAAATAGTGAAAATTACTGTTATTTATTTGATCATAATAATCTGCAGAATCAAAATCTACAGTTGCAGATAAATGAATCCAGATCAACAACAGTTCATAATTCAACCAGATGATTGGCAATGGAAAGCATGAAACTCACATTTAGGTGACACTGCCTTCAACAGTAGCCTTGCAGTATCTTCCTGCTTGACTTTTGCGCCTTCCTTCTCCACCAGAACTGCAGCCACAATCCTCTCGTAGCCGCCGTGGGAGACGGCGGCGACGTACGCCACCAATGCGGCTTGGACGGGCCCTAAGCTCGGATTGTAGGCTGCAGATTCGACATACGAGCCTTTATAGAGCTTCCCTTCGCAATCCATTAATGCAACTCCTGAGGGGCAGCCGCTGTACGGAGCATGAGATCTGTTTGCAGCATCTAATGCTGCTTCTCGAAGTAGGGTTTCGGTTTCTTCGGAAATTTGGGGATTTTTGTTGGTGAGGTTGCCGTTTGTGCTGGTGAGTTTTGGGGAATTGGTTTCGGGGAGGAGATCTAATTTATTCTGTTGATTTTCGAGGAGGAAGGGAGTTTGATGGTCGAGCAAATCGTGGGGGCCAAATGGAATCGGAAGGAATTCGGATAAGGGCATGAAATTGGGGATTTTGTTTTTAGGGCGGAATTCGTCGTCGAGGACGAGGATTTGCAGGGAGGAGGAGTTGCGGAGCTCCTGGAGGAACTGGCGGCAGTGGCCGCAGGGGGCGGCGGAGACGGCGACGGCGGTGAGGCCGGGGCAGCCATGGGCGAGGAGATTTGTGATGAGGAACTGTTCGGCGTGGACGGAGTGGTGGAGAGGGAGGCCGGGGAATTCGAGATTGACGCCGACGAAGACGCGGCCGTCGGCGCCGAGGCCGACGGCGGCGACTTTGAAATTTGAAATCGGCGGGCGGGCGAGAGACAGGCGGGCGGGGACGAGATGGGGGAGGAGGTCGACCACCGTGGGATGACGGAGGAATTCCGCCATCGATTCCGCGGCGGAGGCGCCGATTACGAAATCGGATAGGAGGTGATCCATTGCCGGAATGGAAGCCGGAGAAGCGTCGCCGGCGAGGGTGACGGCGGCGGTGGGGGTGTTTATGCGGCGGTGGTGTGCGCCTAGAGAAATGCTCGCCGATTGCGTGGATTTATAATGTCAGGTAATTGTGCAGAAGCTCATGCATCACATAATTAATTAATTTTTTATTATTTATCATTATTGAAAAGTATGGAATGGATAATTAAATACCAGAAAAGTTAATTTACATATAATATCCACAGTTTGTTCTTTCACTTATTTTTTTCACATGGTTTTCAAAAACAATTTAATACATCAATCGCATTCATTATTTTTATATTTTTTATATAATTTTATATATTTTACAATAAAAAATAAAAAAAATTCTTCCAAACACACTAATATATAATTTCTTTTATAAAATATTATATATATTTATAATATAAATAAAATATTATATATAAAATGAAAAAGAAAAAATTCTTCCAAACACACCAATATAGATTTTTGACTACGAAAGTCAATATGTAACATAAAATAATATATTTTATATTATTGATACAATTATTTTTATTTTATATCAAAAAAATTAAAATAAAAACATTACACAAACAAACCCGAAAATTCTTATATAATTAATTTTAGTACTCCCTAGTATGATAAAATCTATAGCAAATCTGTGTTCAATTAAAATTTTATAATCTATTACAAAACTTCAAACATATACTCCTTCAGTTGACTAAAATTAGCACATTTAGGTCTGGTATGGGAACAAAGAAAAATGAATATTTTATTAAAAAAAATGATACGTAGTTGGAGATATTTTTGGAAATTTAGTTAAAAAATAAAGTAAATAAAGACCTAATGTAATAAAGTTAGTAGTATTTTTTATAAATAAGTGTTGAATGAAAAGTAATAATTAAATGTTAATTTGTTGACTTTGCCAAAATTAGTAATGGGATAAATTTAATGTACGAACTAAAAAAGAAAGTAGAAATAAATTTGGCAGCACATAGTCCATTCGAATGGAACAAAAGAAAATAAAATTTTACAAAAATCCTACAAATACACCGAAAAGTGATTTTCAAAATAATATTTCTTAAAAAAGCAGTACATTCTTTTTTGATGAGTTTGGAGAAAAAATAGTTTGAGTTTGGTATAAAAATAATATTTAATATGATATTTTATGAGAAGAAAAAATGTATTTTTTTGGAAAATACAGAGTACAAATAGTAAAATTTTTAAAAAATTAACTAAAGAAACATACCCTTGATCAATCACAAAACAAGTGTGTTCACTGTATATTTTTTAATGAACTTTTTTTTTTATTATTAGGAATAGGAAATTTTGTCAATGTGAAAAAAATATATATATATAATTAGTAATTTTTTATAAGTATATATTATATATTATATTTTCTATAATATTTTTTTGATATCATTAGAAAATATATTAATATATCTTCAAAGTCAAACCATTTGTTTGGTTTTCAGTTCTAAATTTAAAAAAAATAATAATAATAAAAACTATATTATTTACTATGAAAGATATATATCATCTAGGTCTCTTAAATAGTCTTATAAATTTAATTTATTATTAATTTTGAAAATGTTAAATTTTTAATACTTCTTCTTAGAAGAATGGCGTTTGCTTTTTGCAAGTAGATTTTTTAATATTAGTATTATATTAAATTGTAGTGAAAAAGACAAAAATACTCCTATATTTCGTAATATAAAAGTAATGACATTTGTGTAATATATCGTAAGTTGAAAAGGGTATTTATTATGTTAAATAGGCAGTACAATTACTAAATTAGGAAATGATAACTTTGTTTTGGGACGGACGAAAATAAAAAATGGTAACCTTTCAATGGGACGGAGAGAGTATTTAAATATTATTTTTATTTAATATTTATTTATTTCGATTGTTATCACTTTTTCTCTTCAAAACTATTTCTAGTTATTTTTTATTTTATTATTTTTTAATAAAATTTTTATTTTTTGAAATTTTCGAACCCTGATGAGCAAATTTTATAGGATATGGAGCCATTACTTTTTTTTAATATTATATAAATCATATTTAAATTTAAAAAAAAAATAGAATTTAAGGTTTTTTTCGTTAGTATTTTAGTTTGAATGTGAGATATATTAAATTATATCGATAATTAAAAAAATATTAATATTTTAAATTGAATATTGATTTTTTTTAAAAAAAATAAAATATTAATTTAAAATTATGTAAATAAAAAAATTATTATATAAAAAGCCTCATATTCAAATCAAATAAACTCTAATTACTTTTACTCATTGTTGTAAATAATACTCCATTCGTTCCGGATATTTTGAATTTATTACTGTAAATACAAGAATTTAGAATTATAATTATAATTTAATTAAAATTGAGAAAATTATAAAATTTAAAATGTGATTAAAATACATAATTATATTTCTAAAAATAGAATGAACAAATTACGAATGAAAATAAAAAATAAAAAAAAAATTATGTGGAACAAAGCCAATAAAAATATATTATTATATATATATATATTATATATATAATTTTAAATCAAACAAACTGTAACACAAATCCCATCCACTTACACAGAATCAAATCAAGAAAACCCCAACTGGTTAGAGAATATGCAATAAATAATTAAAATTCGAATAATAAAATATTCTTTCTATCTCAATTCAACAAATTTATTTTATTATATATGTCTGTCCAATATAGATCTCTATAAAAAAAAAATAATAATAATAATTAATTTTTTATAAATATTAATTTTTTATTGAAAAAAAATTATAAAATAATTTATATTTATAATAATCAATATAATATTATTATTTTTTAATTCAATTAAAACAAACAAACAAACAAATAAATACTAAGTCAAATTGAATTTGAAATGAAGCGAATGTGAATGCCCATTTTTGTCCCTTTCACTGATTCTGTATATATATCTGTCAGAATCCCATTTTGCTTGTGTGTTTGTTTGGGAATTAGACTATTCATTCTATTTTTTTTTTTTAAAAAATATCAAATTAAATATTTATTTTTTATATTATATTAAAAATTAATTTTATATTCAAAATACCATATTATACCTATTTATATCACATCATATATCTATTCAAATTCAAAATTTTTACTATTCAAATCTCAACTCAAACTCCAAACCCCCAAACAAACACACGGAATTCAAAATAATCAAAGTATATTGCTTCGTTCTTTCTATATATTTTTTTCACACATATTTTTCTTAAAAACAACAATCTCACGAAACAAACGCATCCTATTTGTCTCCCATTTCAGACGAACTTAGCAATATGCTTTTTTATTTTTTATTTTTTATCTTAATTTATTTTTTTTTTAAAAAAGATTTTTAAAATAGTGATTATTTAATTTTATATTTCTTCTCTATAAACAAATATATCTCTATTTCTAATACTTACTTCGGTTATTCAAATTTTTTATTTTTCTCTTTTAGTTTTATTCTCTCTTTTAGTTTTATTCTCTCATATCCGAGTATTTTATTTTATTTTTAATAAAATTGTATCTCACCTAAATAAAAATATTTTAATTTTATTATTATATCATTACTTTAAAAAAAAATTATATTTATTTATATTATTTATACTATATTTTAATAAAATATTAATATACTTAAATTTTCATACTAAAAGTAAATGAAAAATTATTAGTGGACAAAGTAAGTAAATTAAGTTACTATAATTACGTATAAATATGGAATATGTTTTATTTATTCATCTTATATAAGTACATGTTTATCCTACAAAATTTTTGTATCATACTTTTCAATTATTATTACCCAAAATTACAAAATATATACACTCACAAAATATCATATATATATATATCATATTTATTTACAAAAAATTAACAATATAACATAAAATATTATTTTTATACTTAATATAAAAAAATATATTTAAAAAAATTAAAGTAAACACACCTTTATTATTTTTTACAAAATAATAAAAAAAAAGTTATATTGAATACACCTTGTTGAAAGATAATTCTTAAAATGTTTAAATTTTATTTTTAATCAAATAATATATTCCGTTCATCATGCAAATGTATATTTATTTGACTGGACACGAGTTTTAATAATAATGAGTAATAATTATTATTTTTTTTCAAAAAAAGTACAAAAGTGTAATAATTTTTTTAATAAAAAAGAAACGAGAATATTTTGACAACCCAAAAAAAAAAGTGAACATATATTTGAATGACGGGAGTTTATTACGTGATAATTTATGATTTGTTTGATTGTAATTTAAAATTAAATTATTGTTTAAGTTTTATTTAAATATTATTTTAATGTAATACTTTGTAAAAAAAAAATACTCATTAAAAATTATATAGCATAAATAATATTGATTTCAATTTAAACCAATAAAAAAATAATCCCTAAATATACAAAATAGAGCTTGAAACATTAGTCTTATAGTGTGTTCGTTTGTCAATTTTTTTTAAATTTTTACTATTTATCATATTTTATTTTTCTTTCAAAATATCAAATTAAATACTTATTTTTATACTCCCTCCGTCTATTTTTTAATATCTTATTTGATATTTACACGTACTTTTAGGCAATTAGGGGTTTTGTTATAAAATGACAAATTTTTCATTAATATTATGTATATAAAATGAATGAGTAAATAAAGTAAAGGTAAAAGAGTAAATTTTGCGTATAAAAATAGAAATAGGACAATAATTGTTGGAAATTTCAAATAGGAAAGTGAGACGTTAGTTTATGGACGGAGAGAGTATTATATTAAAAATTATTTTTACATTTAAAATATCACATCAAATATCTATTTATATCACATCATACATATATTTAAATTTAAAATTTTTATTATTCAAATTCCAATTTTGAAACACACATGAAGGGTGTGTTTGTTCGAGAGATTGGATTTTAAACCCATTATTCATCCAATTTTTTTCTTCAAAAATATCAAATCAAACACCTATTTTTTATTTTTTATATTATAGTAAAAATTAATTTTATATTCAAAACATCACATCAGTATATATTTATATCACATCATACAATTATTTAAATTCAAAATTTTTACCGTACAAATCTCAACTCAAAATCCAAAA